TACATTTTTGCAATTAAAAAAATGTTTTCTTTAAAAAATATAATTTCAATATGGCGTGTCATAGAAACAAAGGGTTTAGTTGTTTTTTCCAGCTAGACAAAGACAAGCTGTCAGGAAAATAAATACTCAAGTAAAATACAGATACCTGAAAATTCTACTAAGTACAGAACCAAAGCATTTGCACTTTGTTACTTCCCATCTGCTGTTTGTATCGCAGTTCCTTTAAATTTCACTACCACCAAGTCAGTGTTTTGACAAGCATCAACCACTCACCAACCAGTCGTGGAATATACATTTTTCCCTAGTGACCTGTGGTTCCTAGGGGTCGCTGACAAATCTTTAGGGCTGTCTGACTGAAGTCTAAAAAAACTTGACATGAGTCAAGTGCAAAATGTTAACTCATTTCTAGAGTTCAGGACTCATTTATAGCTATTTTATACCAATCTCACTGCATCCATCTTGGTTTTCTGGGGCTAAAATGCTATATGTATATAAGAACAAACTAACACAAGCTCATGGATGGATGGATTTTCCTTCTCTCTGCAGGCCCTGAACACATGCTGCTCCCTCCCTGTACTTGTTCTCTCACAGAGCCATTTACACATCAGCCTGGAACACCTCTCAAAATCAATCAATGTTAGAAGCTGTTTGGTTGCATTAATATATGGCTATTTTTTGTATGTGTGATCCCGATCCTGTATATATGTCAGGAGCCATGGTTTCCCAACACATTGCATTATGTATTCCTCACTTCATCTGTCACTGGTTTTAATGTTGTTGCTGATACGTGTAGCTGCACATATATATGAAGGAAACTCACCAGCAGGAAAGTAGAGTGGCAGGTTCTCCTCATACAGCTTCCGATCCTTCGGCAAGAACACGCAGAAGATGACTCTGTCCAGCTGACAGACACACACACACACACACACACACGCACACGCACACACACACACACACACACACACACACACACACACACACACACACACACACACAAAATGACCCATTGCAAGCATATGCAATAACTCTGAATCCATCAGTTGCAGCAGGGAACAATGTAAAAATGTGTGACACTGTGCGGCCGCAATATCAGGAGAATGCCACTAATGCATCAGTCCATTACTCCACTATTAGCTCCCTATTATGATAATGCCACGACAAGGCGCTTATTACTCTGTGTGCTGGGGACAGAGTGCTGAAAATGTGCAAAGAGAGGGAAAGAGTGGGTATGTGTGTGATAAAGAGAAAGACAAAAAGACAGAGGCAGAAATAAAGGGGTTAGAGAGATCATCCTCTCTCTCACACACACACACAAAACACACAGATCACACACACACACACACACACACACACACACACACACAACACACACACACACACACACACACACACACACAAGCCATAAACATAATACAGTAGCTTTCAAACAATATTTAAGACATTGGCTGAGAGTGTGCAGCTAGTTTATGACAAAGAATCTTTATGCTCCGAGCTCCTATGTTGTTTAGACCCCAGCTCTGCAGTCTATAATATTTATATTATGCTCTGTATATCTGGACAGAGTACAGTACACACTGTGGATGTAGCCTGTAATGATTAAAGTTACTTTAGCTACAGTAAAACGATGCTTCTAGGGATATAACCTCTACTCTGCTCTGACTCTGACAAACATTATTACCACCCTAATGTCTCTACAAAGGTTTTGATTTCTCTGTTTTGGGTGAGGCAGTGCAATTTATAGCCAGGCTGTTTCCATCTCTTTCGGCCTGGTGTGGGAGTTTAAGTCTCAGTGCTTTCAAAGAGACATTTCAGCAGCATGCTAGCCTGCAGCCCATGTTTTTCAGCCCCGGCTTGCTGTACAATTACCATCACTCACCAGGATTTGCATGGAAGCTAAAAGGGAAGATATGGAAATGTAACTAGATCCCCTAGGCTAAGGTTTGAAATTTCTAACCTCCACATGAAGGTGGCTCCACTTGAAAACTGTAGAAGTGGGAACTAATTCTCACACTACTGCAGCAGCGAGCCTAGAGATGCTAATGCTAACAATAACAGCAAGTCACTGTAAATGGCTCTATGAGAACAGCCTGTTGTTAATGGAAACACGTTACACAACCTGTAAATATTCCCCTCTCAAACAGAAAACCTGTCAACTGTTGTGGAAATTACACTAGTCTTTGTGCTCTTGTGAAAATGCATATCCTTTAACAAACGACGCATCTAAAAATATATATAATACTGTGCTTTTCAGCTTTACTTCAGGCTCGACAGCAACTAAAACAATATTCTCACCACGATGTCTATTTAGTAGATTTTCAGTCATAGCGCAACTTGTCCAGAAATAATGCAATTGTGGAACTAGTCAAATTATTAATTTAGAGTTTTAGGATTTCATACTGCTTAACAGATGAGATTGAAAGTCACACAGATCATTAGCCAAACCTCATCCTGAAAACGATTGTTCATTCACACCAAGCTGCGTTTGATCTGCTTTAAAAAATATTTTAAAAATTGGCTAACTGTGGTTAACAAGAGAGAATTTGTACATCAAGGCTCCCCTTTTTGACCAGCATGGTGCAGTCTCTTCAAAAAATTTGTGCTTTACTTTTAGTGAGTTCTACTGTTTCCTTTTATTAGTCTATTATTTAGCACCAATTAGCAGATATGTCTGTCTGTAAAGTTTTTGGATGGAGTTTGCTCACCAACTCAGAGAGTGTTAGAAGATAAGTTGTTCAACAAAATAGTACAGAGGTGACCAGAAACCAATGAGTGGCCTCTTTGATATACAGTCCATGAAAGTATTGCACACTTAAGAGAATGTAAAGCTATACCGATCAGTTGATGAGCTTGTAAACTTTTAGATTTTTCATTTGGTTAGGTTTCTTTCCACATGGAGGACCAAAACGTGTCACTACAAACCGCGTGAGAATGCTCAGTCTGCTTACTGGCAAGATGCGTCAGCAGTGCGAGCATCAAAAATAAACACAGAGAGAAGGTGCTGGGTCCTGGAGTAGTAGATAACGTGAAGAGTTTTCTCCTAGCATTTATATTTACCTGGGCATATAACTGTATGTAGGAGGCTAGTTGCTACAGTACATCTGTGGTACTGCTTATTCCCAGAATGCAAAGCAAACCCAGCTAGAGGAAGGTGTTGAAGCCTGCAGTGTACACTTGGTAGTTGGACTGGACCATGTCCATAAAGGAACCACTTTGAAGTCATTTATAATGAGACCAACTTTAACCAGAACGTTGTTGTTGTGGTCTGTGTCTGAATGTGATTGCTGTGTTTACAGCTGCAGAAACAAACGGCACCAAGTGGGGGAATAATTTGATTTGAACAGATTAAAAACTGTTACAGGTGTGACGACACCCCAAGAGTTAGGGGAGAGCAGATCGATTGTATTGATGCCAACATTGACATTGGATCCCTAATGATGTGATAGGACTGATACTTTAATATGTTTCTCTCCAAGTTTGGTACATTAAATTCATAAATCATCTTGTACTGCTCTCCTGTACATAAGCCGCCTTTAGAGTTTAAAAATATCAGTGATATTGGTTCTGTATTTACTTGGTTTTGCAGTATCACACACTGCTGCTAACGTTTAATTTAGACTTCTGTGGGAAATTTACATCCTAACTTGTGCAGTAACCGGAAGCTCCTTTGATCCCAACCCAACGCGTGGTTACATTTCTAGCGAGGTGCACGTCAGGTTATGCAGAAGATTGCGGCGTAGGGTTAAAATGGGGTTCCAGCTATGACGCAAGTTACCCCATAGACATAATGCAGAAGTGTAATTAAATTGTAAGAGTAGGGTGGGGCTTTGCAGCTCAATGCAACTAAAAAGCTCAATCTGCTGAAGAAGCTCGTGATTATGAATAAAAAGCCAGAAGAGCTGCTAAAAGGATTTGATGAGACTCTCTAGTTGACTCTGAGTCTAATTCGAGACCCCCCCGGTCCCCCAAAAAACAAAACAACAACAACAGCAGCTACATTTTAAAACTGGTATGTTTTCTGCACATAAATGATTCGATTTTTATTACATTTGATGCAGAATGTAGGCATACTGACCTGTGTCTTGAGTCCATTTTGCACCTTACTATGTTTGCAGTTTTCAATTTCATTTCAACATTAAAGCGCTCAGAGCCAGAACACGCTCGACAAAACCCCATAAAACTTTTCAATTAATGAATAAACCCAATTTCCTCTGGTAAACATTCTCTCTTTATATTTATGTGGTCGCCTTCAATATTTTTTTTCCCTTAAAAGCAGAGTGGAAGTAGTTGTGGGCAGAATATAAATAATTTTGTTGATTTGGCCTTCTGGTCTTATTTACTGACATTCGAGGCTTGCTGTCTGTTGTCCAGTCTGGTGAGAAATGCAATGATTTGAGTTCATTTGCTATGCACAGAGCGGCTGATGGCATCAGTCGACCGATATTGCTACAGAGACTCTGGAGATGTCAGAGCTAACAATAACATCATCAGCACCCTCTCTGGGAGGCCGTGCAGGACGGCGGTAACAGCGAGGCTTCAAAGATGGAAAAAGAGAAGTGGGAGGAGACCAGAGAAGTAAAGGAGGGGAAAAAGGGAGGAGAGTTTAGGGCTTGTCAATGACTGATTGGAAAGTTTCCGCCTTTTCCAATCTCTTCCTCCGTCCCTCCCCTCCAGTCATCTATTCCATCATTTTGTCTTTTCTCCGCTTGGCGTTTCTCCTGAGAGAGAAAGTGTGTGCGTGCCTGTGTGTTTGTGTTAGTCGGGTTTGGTCCCGCAAGGAGCCAATTAAAACGCAGACTTGGCCATGAGCATGAGAGAGGCAGAACTTGGGTGTGTGTTCAAAAATATTTTTTGTGTGTCTGATTGTGTGTGTTTTCTCAATGCACCCTTTTCCTCGTATCGCCCGAAAACAAAAACAACAGCTGTGAGAGAAATAATACCTGGAGGAAAGGGTAGGGGAAAATTTGCCAATCATGCAGGCGCAAACACAAACACATACCCACCTTGTCATGATGTGCATCGAGGTAGTCCCTCACAGTTTTTAACGCCTCGTGCACAGCCCGCTCAGATGGATATCCTACAGAAACACAAACACACACGCGCAAGTGACATCAAAAATACACACACAGTTTTCGAGAACAGGTGCAGAGAGAGATCTGTGTGCTTGCGTTGTGCTGTTGTCTTCGGCGCTTTCTGTTCTTCTTTCCACTATTCTAACACTCCCCGTCCTGACTCCTCTCACGTCGTCTGATCCCGACTCAGTTATTCCAGCGAGACGCAGACACAACACACTTGTTGGTTACGAGGAGACAGATGGAGAAAGACTGCTTTTCTTCTTCTATATTCATTGAGCAGCTGAGACCTTTCACTGCTGGAAAATTATACCCAGCGCTGGTAAAGCAGCACAAAGGCAATGAAAACTCATCATCTGGCCAAACTGCTCAACCCAAACAAACACTATGTGATTATACATTAGGAGATGGTTCAGCGTGTTAGCACAGGGGAATACGCGACGGTACAAATGAGCAACATACAATTTGTTAGAGCACTGAAACAAATGCACTGAAGAAAATGTAATATAATCTGTTAATATGTGCCCACTATGGCTTGTTATATAAAACATTTTACTGATTGACATGTGCATCTAATTCAAGTGGCCTCACTCCATCTGCACGGGTTTTTTCACTCCTTTTTCTGTTTATTTGGACCGATTGAGACCTGCGTCATCCTTTAATTCAATATTTCAACCCTTATAATTTTAATTTTAAATGTATATGTTACATCCACGCATAAAATACTGAAATAAAGACTGAAAAATACAATGGCGTGAGCAGAGCTGTTCACTGAGCACACTGATTGTTTTGAATAGTTTCCACTGAGTGCATTCATTGCATATGATGTAAACAGCACCACAGGTTGTCAGCAAGGCTAGTGCTAGTGCTGGAGGAGGCAGAGAAAATGTGCAGCTTACAGCAGTGCTGTTAAATATTAGAGGATGATTTTGAGCAAATCTGTGCAAATTCGCACAGGAAAAAAAAAAGCTCAGCCAACTAAGCCACTTTATTAGGTACATCTGTTCAGCACATATCTAATCAGTCAATGTAAATGCAGCGACTCGATGCATTTAGCTTTATAGGTGAAGACACCCTGCTGAAGTTCAATACCAAGCATTAGAATTAGAAACTGCTGATCTACTGAGATTTCCCCACACCACCATCGCTAAAGTTTTCAAAGGATGGTCTAAAAGAGAAAAGATCAAGTGAGCAGCAGTTCTCTGGGTGGAAATGCCACAACTCCTGCAAGCAAAGAACAGCAAACTCACACTACAATTCGCATGGGCTCTCCGATCTCAATCCAATAGAGCATCTTTGGGATGTAGTTGAACAGAGGGACTGACATCATGGACGTGTACCTAACAAATCTGCACTAACTGGGTGATACGATCATGTCAATATGGACCAAAACATCTGAGGAATGTTTCCAGCACCTTGTTGGATCTATGGCACAAAGAATTATGACTGATATGCAGACAAAACAGGATGCAACACAGGATTCACAAGGTGGCTGCTGGGTGTCAAATTAATGTAATTTGTGTCCATATGGGTCTGAAAAACAAGCCACAATGTCAACATAATAAGCACCAAACTTGAAATGTCAAATTGACTTAAAGGATCAGGGCAGTTTTTGGTAATAACCACAAAGGATCAGTCATGAAAAGTTTAAGATCCTGTGGAAACAGCCCATAAAAAGTCCCGTAGAGCTGAATTACGTCTGTCCTGATTTCTACTGATTGGTTTATATATTTACATGCAATACCAGTGAAAAGCTTAGGCACACTCAATCATTGAAGAGCATTTCTTTATTTTTAATTGATTTCTACATTTTTTAAAAACAAAACAACATCTGCTGAATTCGTCAGTGACCTACAACACAGTAGGTTGAGCTTTCTTTCTAATGCTGATCCAGGAAATTGTACCACATACGTGTATTGGGGTCCTGGATTATTCTACTAGTAAATAAACGATTGCGATGAATCATCAATAGCCAGTGAGAAGAAAACTAAACCACAGACGCACCTGTAAAGCCACTAAACGATTGATCTTCCAAAGCAAACATCACTGATATTCTCATAAATTTTCAACATATTTTAAGAAATTTACTTTTTTTTTTTTTAATCACACTGGCTTCATGCTCACTCTGTACAACAATCAAAAGAGTGTAATTTTGTGCATTTGTGCATCACGTTATCTTATTAAACATAAAATGTGCTGATACTGTGACGCACAAATAATTAGAAACATATCTGCCCTCAGGTGTGTCTGAGCTTTCGATTGGTACTTTTGTTTTTCTTTGCATGTAAAAGTAATCTGTCTGGTTTAGCAGTAGGAGAGTTCAGTGATTTATTCAGTTTAGGGAGTTTCAAAGATTGGGGGCTCTACTGAAAAAACAGCTCATTTATAAAATTAAAATGCAGGAAAATAAACATTAAGTGGTTTATTTCGGTACCACAAATTTAGTGCAAAAACTCCGAGCGCGAGCACCGATTTAATCTCAGAGCTTAACTTGCACACCACTGGATGTGAAGCACAGCGTGGAACACGTTTCCCTTTTTAATATTTAATCAAAACCAAAATCTTTCCTCCAACCTTAACTCGAGTGTTTTAGTAATCTGTACTTTACCACATATCTGACGCAAGAGGCAACCTGAGGAGAAAAATGTTGCTAATGAACATAATCAAGGATGCAATTATATTCCCTCCAAAAATGTATTTACCGTCCTTATTAGTAAAGTAAGTAAACTATTTCGCTTATTTCCCAGCAGAGGTCTTCTCACCTCCGCTGTAATGAGGTCTGCTCAGCCTTATTGACTGAAACACCAGCAAGCTTTGCAGGGCCTTAAAGTGCAGCTATAATAGTGGTGCAAAGTCTGGGAAGAGGTGTACATCATCTGTGTTACTACTAAAAAAAACAAACAACAAACTACTAGTGTGACTGCCTGCCAGGCACATTTGTTTTTCCCAATTTCGTTAGATTACAGAGTGTATAAAACACTGATGAGGAGCAGTTAATGCTTTAATAGGAATTAAGTTACAGCTCTAAAATATGAGACCATTCTTTAAAAATGATACTCATACACTGGTATGTTTTCTGTGTGGAACTATGGCTTAAAGATGGCAGATTTGTTTTCAATTGCAGCCGTCTGTCTGTAGAGACACAAGCTGCTTATACCTCCTAAAGTTACATAATTTGTGTTACTGCTTCAACACCCTGACCTACAAAACACTCAAGAGGAAAGAAACAGCGGGACAATGACAAACAAGCAGAACAGGGAGGAAGACAACCTGGAGTCAACTGGGAATTTAGCCTTTTCCTCTTTCCAGCAATGACAGAGAGGTGTCAACAACTAGCCCTCACAGCAAAGCCACCCTGGGGTGTGTTTAAGCACTATCCTTGACTCTCTCCTGCCAGCGTGAAGAGGATTACAGTCAATATAACACAATCTCCGGCCTAATCTATCTTAATCTGCCGCTCTTAATCCAAGGCGTTAATCTGAGAACCACCTCTGGGTCGGGGGAGATCATTTGACAAGCGGCACCCGGAGGCTCGGCGCTCTGGTCAAACAGGCAGACTGACGAGCGTGTGATGGAGAGCACACAGCGTGTACAGTGGATGAAGACAGCAGAGAGGAAGTGTTGTTGGTGATCAATAAATGTGAAATAAATGATAGAAAACTGACACACAAACACAAAGTGTAGGAACAGAGGAGACACACACATGAAGGCACTAACCGTAGATTCCAGTTGAGATGCAAGGGAAAGCCTGCAGAGTTAAGAGGAAAAACCAAGTTACAATGTGCATTTTTCAGCTCCTTGTGTCACTCTGTTATGTTCTAATGCATTCAATCAATCCACCCTCCAATTTAAACACAACACATGATAATGATGAAGCAAAATCATTTAGAAATCAAACGCTCCTTTTACATACGTGTTCAGACAGTAGATTCAGTACTTTGCTAAATCACCTTTTGCAGCAATGCATTATGAGTTCTTGGGAATAATCCCACAAGTTTGGCATGCTTTTCTTTTCCAAAGCTCCTTTTCATTTTGACAGAATCTCTCATGCTCAGCGAAGCTTAACGGGAAGCAGTGGTGCACAGGCGTTTTCAAGTGTCTCCTGGGATGCTCCTTCAGGTCCAGACTTTTGGTTGACTTTCCCACACCAGAGCCAAGTTTACTTGGTAATGTGCTTTATATTCTTGCTAAGATGTAAACTTCTGCCTGAGTCTGAAATCTTATTGTGGAAAAGGTTTTCACTCAGTATTGCTCTGTGTTTTTTGCATCCATCTTCTGCTGCCATTACTGTGTTTGACTGTAGGAATGGTATTAATTAGGCGATGCTCAGTGTCCGGTTTCCTGCACACAAAGCGTGGGGAATTGTGGCCTAAGAGTTCAATCTTTATTTCATCAGACCAGAAGTATAAGAGTCAGGTATCTGACAAAGCAGTCTGTCCACCATAAAGGCCTGACAGCTAGAACGCATCATCAAAGGCTGCCCTTCTTTTAGACACATCTAATCTCCATAAAGGAACTCTGGATCCTAATTATCATGACCTTTGAATTATTGGTTACCTGTTCACGCAATGCCTTCTTCCCCTATTCCTGATTTTGACAGGATGAGTGTTGGTGGTTCCAGATTTCTTTCATTTTCAACCAAATTCAACCAAATGCACCCTGACAGTGCTTTAGCACAAAAACTACATCGAAAAGTGATCATTTAAAAGACAAAAAAAACAAAAACCCATCTCGCAGATCTTTGGAAACTTTATTTTAACTGGTATGTGTATATATTTCCTGATTTTGTCCAATGACTTCAAAAAGACAGATCATGCTGTAGGCATTTCAAGGATCACTGATAGACGTGGGATGCTTAATTACGTGTATCATGACAAAGGCTCCAAACAAAATGGAAAAAAAGACTCACTCTTTTAATTAAAAACATACAACCTTGTTTTTGCTTTGACATTGTGGAGTACTGTGTGCAGACTGATGAGAGAACATGAACTGAAGAAGAGCATGAAACACATCAAAATGGGGAAAATTTTAAAAGATCTGATAACTTTCTGAAGAGCTCATCATCATCATCACACACACTCTCTGTATGTCTATCCTTCTGAGGACACTCGGTGACATAATGCATGGCCTATCCTCTCTACTTAACCTTAACTAGCATAAACCAAAGCCCTAGAAGCAGCCCTTAACATAACTCAAACCTGACGCTAAACCTGAAGCTTAAATCCGGGTCTAAACCTTTGACGATGTGTCAAAAAGCAACTTTCCCCAAATCTCCTCACTTTCAAGGTCTACAACAAACTGGTCCTCACAAAGGCAGCCATACACGTACACACACGTAGCACTGCACAGAAATCACACTCTCTGCTGGATCCCGATGGAGTCTTTCTCTTGATTGTTTTTTATGGCAGCCTTTCTTCAGCCTCTGACTTTCACATCTATTTAAAGACCAAACTGTTGATCATCCTTTGCTGACGAGGCCGAGCAGGGAAGAATTCTTCCGTCAGCTTCGGCCGTGCTAGTAACACTAATCAGACATCATTAGAGTAATTACGATGGTGGGTATACAGACAGCCACTGAGGAAACAATCACTTTATACCGTAAGCTATTATACTCTAGGAAAAGAACTTAAAAAACTTCTTGTGTCCACGATTTTGTGGAATTGGTGCATTTTTGCAACAGCTACTTTTTAATGATGCTGGTGAAAATGAAGCTTTGAATGGAAGACTTGCTGCAGTGCTAGACAGATTGTGGGCTTGTAATTGTGTCATATTAGTTTAATACAACGCTAAATGGGCTCTTTTCCCCACCAATGCTGTGATTGAGTGGGAGATCCTTCCCAAACAACAGGACAAACAGGTAAAAGTTAACAGGTAAACAGAGTTGTCACCCTCTTCTAAGAGCTTACACTGCTTTTTACACAGTAAGTGTTGCTGTGTTCTGGCAGCTGAATGCCTTTAACTGTGTTGTCTTAAAAACCATCCTCTTGTGAGTTAACACGTGGGCTATGAACCATGACATTTCCAGTTTGAATCATCATTTTATTCCATCTCTCTCACCTGTCCGCACTCATTATTAACAATAGCTGCAAAAAATCTGCAGCAGATTCATTATTTCAGGTTCCCGACAAAGCGAATGTGAGCGAGGGAATTGTTTAAAGTCTATTTAGCACCACATTCCCTCTTTTGCATCTCGGCAAGGTAAAAGAGGTAATTTGGTGCTGAAAGTATTTAACCTTGGATTTAGTTTCTCTAAGTCGCCCAATTAATCGCTTCAGATTAGCTTTGAAAGCATTTTTTCACAGCACAAAGACAACTGGGGATTTTGTCTCCGCAGTACTTAGATTGCATCTAATTGAAAGAGGCATGTCTTTGCAGCTGCTATGGACCGCAGGACAACTGCCAAGACCAAAAACTTTTTTTTTTTCTTAAATTGGACAAGCAGACAAGCATAAGCAGGCGGATGTTTTTAAGACAGACTGGAACAATGTCGACTTATACTTTAGTATAAAGTTGCAGCAGAGCCAACAGTTACATTTAAGTCATGCATTATTTCCTGCACTGTAGGTGATTTTGCTTACATTGCTGGCAGCCTCACCAGCAATGAAAAAACAATGACAAGAAGAGACCACAGCAGAAGGTAAATGCAGCTATTAACAGAAATAAATACATATTAGAAATCAAAAGGATTATAACTGTTAGTCAGTGAGGTCCGTGTTTGCCAAGTCTGTGCAACACCACTGGTTCTCCTTTGAGTCAAGCAGCCAGTAAACTTCAAGTCTGGCAGATTTCCAACCTGTTGTCAAATATGTCAGTACAAGCAGATGTCTGGATGCTCCCCAGGTCTCCAGATCTGTTCATTTAACCAGACTGCACAGCTTAAGACTCAGGGTGAAGGCAACTATGCCTCACAGGTTCTCTGACACCTACAATAAACAAATAATTTGAAGTTTTGTGAAAATTGCTGTTGCTATGAAAACTTCGGTTAAAAAAAAATCCTGCAACTGATGTATTTAAGTCTGTTTCAAATCCTGTTCTTTACTAGCGAAGCTACTAATGTTCTGCATTAATCTTCACACTGCTTCCATGCTCCTGTTTTCTTCAATTGCACCTCTGACTTTGTTTTCATGTTGCTTTGGTGCTTTTCTTTGGCTTTAACACTTCATTCTCTGTGAAACCTCATGCCTGGTGTGTTTCATGCTACCTTCTTACAACTCACACTCCTACCTCTTTTCCCCTTCCTCCATCCATCTCAGTTTGAACACTGTATTCTTTGAAAAATCCAATGCGATCATTTTTTCTGGCTTGGGTTTCTTTTTTAACTATAGCACCCTGTCATACAGTCATGACTGCTTCACCCGTCCTTTTTTTCTTCCTACCAATGCTTCTTTTGTATTCGCTTCTTTTGATTTCTTCTTTATTCGTGTGCCACAGTCTTCAGTGCTTCTTTTTCTTTACCTTCTTTTACTTTTAACCTGACCTCTCAATCCTCCTGCGTTACCCCGTTTTCAGCATCAGTTCAAATTGCTGTCTCAAATTCATTCTCACCACAGAACGAGCACCATTTTCGGTCGCCGTCTCGAGGCTGTTTCTGTAGCACGATCTTAGCGCGTTCTTCTCCTCCTCTCCAACTCCGCCTTGTGCAATCGGCCCCACTGTGTGAATCACATCTGCAGAGATGGGAAGAAAGAATTCTTTACACAGTGTCAAAGGTATGAAGCTACTGTGAAATAAAGGTAACAGGACAACTGCAAATAAAATACAGTTAAAATTTATAGTTTTTATCAGGGAACTATTTTAAATATTATTAATAAACTCTACTGTTGACATTAAAGTCCTTATAAAACATATTTTATATCCCCTGCAAAATGATGCTTACTGTAAACAGTGTTCGTGATCAGCTGAAAAGTAGTGCACTTTCTGTGCCAACTAGCACTAACACTAGAATCTTTAGCTCTATCCATGTTGATAGTATGATAAAACGTGCCCATCATCAGAAGAGTGGATGACCAGAACTGCTGGTGCACACCAAGAGGCCAACAGTGGATACATTTGTGGTTTGATATTCTGTTTAGCATAGAGGTGCAATTTTGGAAATTGCCATCCATTTTATTTCCGGATAAAATAAACCGTGAACATCCTACATGAAGCGATGAGTGGGCTTCGAGGGCTTGAAGAAGATTACCAGCCTTCCAGGTGATGCAGGTTAGCCGTGCTCCAAATGATGATGTTCATGTACAGGAACATGGCAGTAACACCATAAGTCTAATTGACGCAGCTAAATGGAACACCTCTTGTATTTTAGCCATTGCTTCTGGACTCCAAACAGCTTCTATTTAAGTGCTCTAAGCAAATCCAAAAGCTTGTAACTAGAGCAACATGTCTGTGGCTGTACTCTTCTACTGAGGAGTCTCTTTCTTTCAGTTAGGAAAACAGAAAACACAAGATGACCTTCATTTTAACACTGCAGGATGGTTTTCTTAAGTAATGAGCACAATGAAAAACAAAGTCTACTTTTTCACATTTCAAACAGAGTTTCTACGTGACAGAGTTTCCCAATATCACCGTTTTATTCATCATAACTTCAAAAATAAATAAATCAGGCAACCGGCTGGATGTATTAAGCTTTCAAAAAACCACCTTCTCTGTCAGCTCACACAGTGTACTGATCGCACTTCAAGCAAGTGTAAACTCAGATGCCTTCCGTCTATATACAGTGGGGCAAAAAAGTATTTAGTCAGCCACCGATTGTGCAAGTTCCCCCACCTAAAATGATGACAGAGGTCAGTAATTTGCACCAGAGGTACACTTCAACTGTGAGAGACAGAATGTGGAAAAAAAAATCCATGAATTCACATGGTAGGATTTGTAAAGAATTTATTCGTAAATCAGGGTGGAAAATAAGTATTTGGTCACCTCAAACAAGGAAAATCTCTGGCTCTCACAGACCTGTAACGTCTTCTGTAAGAAGCTTTTCTGTCCCCCACTCGTTACCTGTATGAATGGCACCTGTTTGAACTCATCATCTGTATAAAAGACACCTGTCCACAGCCTCAAACAGTCAGACTCCAAACTCCGCCATGGCCAAGACCAAAGAGCTTTCGAAGGACACCAGGAAAAGTATTGTAGACCTGCACCAGACTGGGAAGAGTGAATCTACAATAGGCAAGCAGCTTGGTGTGAAAAAATCAACTGTGGGAGCAATCATCAGAAAATGGAAGACATACAAGACCACTGATAATCTCCCTCGATCTGGGGCTCCACGCAAGATCTCATCCCATGGGGTCAAAATGATCATGAGAACGGTGAGCAAAGATCCCAGAACCACACGGGGGGACCTGGTGAATGACCTGCAGAGAGCTGGGACCAAAGTAACAAAGGTCACCATCAGTAACACACTACAACGGCAGGGAATCAAATCCCGCAGTGCCAGACGTGTTCCGCTGCTGAAGCCAGTGCATGTCCAGGCCCGTCTGAAGTTTGCCAGAGAGCACATGGATGATACAGCAGAGGATTGGGAGAATGTCATGTGGTCAGATGAAACCAAAGTAGAACTTTTTGGTATAAACTCAACTCGTCGTGTTTGGAGGAAGAAGAATACTGAGTTGCATCCCAAGAACACCATACCTACTGTGAAGCATGGGGGTGGAAACATCATGCTATGGGGCTGTTTTTCTGCCAAGGGGACAGGACGACTGATCCGTGTTAAGGACAGAATGAATGGGGCCATGTATCGTGAGATTTTGAGCCAAAACCTCCTTCCATCAGTGAGAACTTTGAAGATGAAACGAGGCTGGGTCTTCCAACATGACAATGATCCAAAACACACCGCCCGGGCAACAAAGGAGTGGCTCCGTAAGAAGCATTTGAAAGTCCTGGAGTGGCCTAGCCAGTCTCCAGACCTCAACCCCATAGAAAATCTGTGGCGGGAGTTGAAAGTCCGTGTTGCTCGGCGACAGCCCCAAAACATCACTGCTCTCGAGAAGATCTGCATGGAGGAATGGGCCAAAATACCAGCTACTGTGTGTGCAAACCTGGTAAAGACCTATAGTAAACGTTTGACCTCTGTTATTGCCAACAAAGGTTATGTTACAAAGTATTGAGTTGTATTTTTGTTATTGACCAAATACTTATTTTCCACCCTGATTTACGAATAAATTCTTTACAAATCCTACCATGTGGATTCATGGATTTTTTTTTTCACATTCTGTCTCTCACAGTTGAAGTGTACCTCTGGTGCAAATTACTGACCTCTGTCATCATTTTAGGTGGGGGAACTTGCACAATCGGTGGCTGACTAAATACTTTTTTGCCCCACTGTAATCCAGCTCGTCTGTACATGATAGTCATCAAAATTTGCTTTAACACACATTTAAAACACATCAACTAAAAATCAGTGTCAAGTTGCATTTGAGCTGATAGCAAAAAAGCATAAAACATTTTATACGGATATATTTTTTGTCACCAAACTGTACATTTCTTTTTTCTTTCCTTGCCCCACTGTTATTGATTGTGCTGTCTCTGATGGCACATTAGCCATTAAAGTTTGACAACATGTCGGCCTTTTGTTTACATTTTTTACCTCTACTTGACCCAAGTCTTTTATTTTTATTTTCTACATAGAAAATCAGCAGGGAATTCATGTTTTGTGGACGATCGTTAATAAAAGAAAAAACTCCCACTCTTGGCATACTCATTTAACCAAAGACCAATTAAATAGTTTTACCCAGGAAAGTATACATTATGCAAGGTTATCTGTATTGCAGCTGCGCCTTCTCTCCCCTCCTCCTGAGTCCCGAACATGAAGTTGGAAATGAGGCAGAATGTAAACATGCCATTAATAAATTACACTTCCTGGTCTCTTTGTAAGTTGCACCTTGCTGGTACCAAGTTTTTTCTTCAGACCTGCCATAATTCTTTGTGGTATGAATTCAACGAGGTGCTAGAAACTCAACTGACATGAATTATGTGAATCTTCTGTTCCAACATATCCCAAAGGTGCTCTGCTGGTTTCATATCTGGTGACTGTGGAGGGCATTTCAGTGCAGTGAACTCACTGTCACGTTCAAGAAACCAGCTTGAGATGATTTGAACTTTTTGAACTATCAGAAGATTGTGCATTGCAGTCATAAAGGGATCGACATGATCAGCAGCAGTACTTGGGCAGGCTTTCACGTTGTTTTAGCCAAATTCTAACCCTACCGTCCACCTGCTGATGCAGAAATCAATAAACCTCATGACAAATAAGGTTATTCCAATCTTTTGTTGTCTAATTTTGGTGAGCCTGAATTGTAGCCTCAGTTTTTTGTTCTCAGCTGACAGGAGTGGCACTCTGTGTGGTCTTCTGCTGCTGTAGCCCATCTGCTTCAAGTTACGATGCTTTTATCATTCAGAGATGCTCTTCTGCAAACCTTGGTTGCAACTAGTGGTTATTTGAGAATGCATTCTCCTCTGACCTCTAGCATCAATAAGGCTTTTTCACCAAAGTAACTGCAGCTCACTGGATATTTTCTCTATTCAAACCCTTCCCTTTGAACACTACAGGGAGTGCAGAATTATTAGGCAAATGAGTATTTTGTCCACATCATCCTCTTCATGCATGTTGTCTTACTCCAAGCTGTATAGGCTCGAAAGCCTACTACCAATTAAGCATATTAGGTGATGTGCATCTCTGTAATGAGAAGGGGTGTGGTCTAATGACATCAACACCCTATATCAGGTGTGCATAATTATTAGGCAACGTCCTTTCCTTTGGCAAAATGGGTCAAAAGAAGGACTTGACAGGCTCAGAAAAGTCAAAAATAGTGAGATATCTTGCAGAGGGATGCAGCAGTCTCAAAATTGCAAAGCTTCTGAAGCGTGATCATCGAACAATCAAGCGTTTCATTCAAAATAGTCAACAGGGTCGCAAGAAGCGTGTGGAAAAACCAAAGCGCAAAATAACTGCCCATGAACTGAGAAAAGTCAAGCGTGCAGCTGCCAAGATGCCACTTGCCACCAGTTTGGCCATATTTCAGAGCTGCAACATCACTGGAGTGCCCAAAAGCACAAGGTGTGCATACTCAGAGACATGGCCAAGGTAAGAAAGGCTGAAAGACGACCACCACTGAACAAGACACACAAGCTGAAACGTCAAGACTGGGCCAAGAAATATCTCAAGACTGGTTTTTCTAAGGTTTTATGGACTGATGAAATGAGAGTGAGTCTTGATGGGCCAGATGGATGGGCCCGTGGCTGGATTGGTAAAGGGCAGAGAGCTCCAGTCCGACTCAGACGCCAGCAAGGTGGAGGTGGAGTACTGGTTTGGGCTGGTATCATCAAAGATGAGCTTGTGGGGCCTTTTCGGGTTGAGGATGGAGTCAAGCTCAACTCCCAGTCCTACTGCCAGTTTCTGGAAGACACCTTCTTCAAGCAGTGGTACAGGAAGAAGTCTGCATCCTTCAAGAAAAACATGATTTTCATGCAGGACAATGCTCCATCACACGCGTCCAAGTACTCCACAGCGTGGCTGGCAAGAAAGGGTATAAAAGAAGAAAAACTAATGACATGGCCTCCTTGTTCACCTGATCTGAACCCCATTGAGAACCTGTGGTCCATCATCAAATGTGAGATTTACAAGGAGGGAAAACAGTACACCTCTCTGAACAGTGTCTGGGAGGCTGTGGTTGCT